CCATTCTCTCTTCCGGGGTGGAAACACCTAGTTACATCCTTTTCCAAAGGCCTTGACTGGATCCTCTCTGTCTACCCAGCGCATGAGAAGCCAGGCCATTGGGCATGTGGTTTTGTTTTTAGCCTGGGTGGTTATTTTGGCACAGGGAGCCCAGGATCTGTATCCCAAAGACTCTCTCCACCTGTCACACTCCTTTGAGGTAGACCGCAGCTGAGAAACAGGTGTAGGGGCTCCTCCAGACAACAGAAGTAAACCCGAGGGACACGCGAGTGAAAGCCATGTGTTAAACCCACGTTTCTGTGGACTTAAACTACAGGGGCACGTTGGGTGGAATGTTTGAGGGCTTTTTTCCCCTTGTCTATGATTTTTTTGTGTGTAACTTTGTTTACAATGAATCTTTGATGAATCTTTGATGAATCTTTGATCTTACAATCACTCTCTAACTGGGATTAGCTGAATTCTGCCGGGACAGGTCTGCTTGCTGCTCCCTGTTGTAAGGCCCTGGGCAGCCTGTTGAAGGTTGAACTATAGCTATTCTGTTGACTGGAAATAGACCTTTATCTTCCACTGGTCAGTTCTCACTCATGATAAAGGCCAAGGCAGGATGATCCATCACCTGATCCTCCTGGCCATGTCTGCAGTTTTTCCCAAGGAGTACACTGGACATGGGCATAAGTTGTGTGTGTGAAGACGACTATCCCAGAGCAGTTGATAATAGCCATTGAGGCTCCACAGAAAAGACCAGACGCCCCTCCCGCAATGGGTCAGCCTTCAGGTATTAGAAAACAGCGCTCGCCTCCCTCCCCAAGTTTTTCTTCTCTAACTTCCTTTGTTTCTCACTTGATTTGTCCTGAACTGCCTTTCCTGTCTGGTTTCTCGCCCTCAGAGGTGGTCTTTATTCCTCTTATGCTATCATGCCCAGATCTGACCACACAACTGCAGACTTGGTCTGCCCTGTGTGGAAACATAATAATGGAGATTGCTAGGCACTCGGCTCTTTATTTGTTTGTCATCTCACTTAATCTTTACAGCAGGCCTCTGGTAGGAGAATTATTATTGTCGTTAGTTGTCATCGAGTTGGCTCTGACTCATGGTGACCCCATGTACGGCAGAATATAATATTGTCCAGTTCTGTACCATCTTCACGAGCGTTGGTATACTCAAATTCATTGTTGTGGCCACTGTATTTTGAGAGCCTTCTGACCTAGGAGGCTTATTTTCTAGAACTATATCAGACAATATTCTGTTGTGATCCATAGGGTTTTCATTGGCTAACTTTTAGGCCTTTCTTCCTAGTCTGTCTTAGTCTGGAAGCTCTGTTGAAACCTTTCTACCATGGATGACCCTGCTGGTATTTGCAATTCAGTGGCATAGCTTCTAGCATCATAGCAATGTACAAATCACCACAGTACAACAAACGGACAGAGAAGTGGTGGAGAATTATTATTATCCCCGTTTTACAGATGAAAAAGTTGAAGCACAGAGAGGTTAAAGAACTTCCTGCAGACACACAGCTAGTCTATGGTCAAACTAAGATTATCACCCCGGCAAAAACCTGGGTCCTAAACCTAAACTCTAATTATTGGGTTCACCTTCCTTCTGGTTGCTGCATCTCTATTAATATGGCCTAAGGTTTAACTAAGCCTTTGATCAGAAAACACAGCTACCCACAAGGGCAATGGGAAATCTGCTTGAAAGATGTGGCCCTGAGATATTGTTGTGGAGATAGAGGAATCAGCTATGGAACACA